AACTGCCCTAACATAGTATCTTCTTTGGTTACATAGCTTTTTGAGAAATTTATATCATGGTTTTAAATGTGGATAATGGATATGTATTGGTCCTTGGCCGGACTAGCAACTAACTACCAGAGGGGAGGATAAGGAAAAGAAAAGGAGAAGGAAACGAGGAGAATATGAGGGGAGGAGGAGAAAAATGGAGTGGGAGGAGTAACAGAGAGGACAAGGCAGCAGGCAATGCAAGACAGTAGGTGATGCAAAGAAAATTGGCGTAGAGAGAGAAGGGTTATGCAGCATAAAAAAAATCGGATTAAGAGAGGTGTTAAAAAGACTGTTGCTTGTCTCAAAAATAAAATAATATCTGGATCCGGCAAAATTGGTCAGGTCAAACATGGATCAGTAAATGCCACCTGATCCAAGCGAAATTTACTATCGTAGTAATACCAGCATTATACAGAGTCAGATTTTGCACATTTTGCATGTCTGTTCAAGTACAGACTGGCAAATACGAACTAATGTGAACTGATCTGAGCGAAGTTTAAAACCATGATTTGTACCACAAACTAAATCCTTCTTAATTCGCTGGCAATAGCACCAGAATTATAAAGAGAGGTCAGTTGCATATCAGAGTACATGTTAAGCTACCAAGACTTGAAAATTCTTGAGAAGCTGTTCTTTAACAAAACAATGTGGAAATTGTCATCCTGCCTTTTCTTTTATATATAGTATATGTAGAACATTGGAAATGCTATGACTTGTTTAGTTTTATAGGATTCAAGAATCGGCAGCAACTCAGACGAGAAGAATGTGGTCCGATCACAGGGTTCTCTGCACTATAATCCTACTCGAGGCATTTCTTTCTTGCTGAGGAACATCAAGGGCTCAACTCTTTCTTCCCAGCTACTCCATGGTGGTAAAACACATGCATCACATCTCTTCTTTGCTCAGAACCAGTTTGCTGGTATACATTCCTCAGATATCTCAAGGATTCACTTCAGAGTCCGCCAAGCTCTAGACTCCGTTGCTGCTCTGCGTCTGCGTCTGCGTCACGCTCTGCTGTTCATCGTGTTCGTGTTCTGTGGAATGATCATAGTCGATGCTGAAGGTATTGCTCCCGAACGCTATCTTTTGCAGCTTTTCGATGTCAGCCGAGTACTTCCCAGAGTCATACACAGTGCTCTGTCCAAATTTGACACCATTGGATAGGTCAGGTAAGCTTCCCCCGCCATCCAAAGCTCTCAACACCTACAACAAGAAGAAGATGGTAAATTTGATTGTTTGAATTGGCATGCAGAACAACCCGTGGAGTACCTGCACCATTCTTGGTCGCTTGGGAGCAGAATGACGAACACAAGCAGCAGCAGCTTCAATCATCTGTAACATGTCACTCTTGGCGAAATTGTTTTCGAGCTTGGGGTCTACCAGTTCTTCGTATTCACCTGTTTCGAGAGCATGAACCAATAGCGGTCGAGCCTGCAGAAGCGAAGTTACAGAGTTTGATGTAAGGAGCAATGGAACATGGAAATCTACTATATGAAGTTGACATCAAGATCATACACATTCTTTAGCTTCATAATGATCAACAATCATGTAGATTAATTGAGCGTACCCATTCGACTAAACTCTCATCCCCTAAAGGCTGAGATGGATCCACAGGCTTTCTCCCAGTTATGAGTTCTAGTAGCACAACTCCAAAGGAATACACATCAGATCTATCTGTCAATTTTCCACTTGATGCATATTCTGGTGCCAAGTACCTAAAAATCATGGAAGAATTTTAGATTGGGTTAGTAGTCTCAATAATAATAACAATAATACTAATGTCTCTACTGATCAAATTAATTGGTGCTACACAAAAATGATCAGGGAATTAGTCTGCAAAGCGGCGAAAAATAATACCCAAATGTTCCCATGACTCTAGTTGACACATGAGTGTGGGCATCATTTGATAGCTTTGCCAGCCCAAAGTCCGCAACCTGTGTGCCGGTAAGAGCTTTAGAAACTTGGATAAAAGTAATTCGAGATTGGTGAACGATTACAGAGGATCAATTGAGTAGGAATTATTTAGGACAGTAGCAACATGCACTGGAGATGCCTATTGTTGTTGGAAAATGTGAGAAAAATTTGGGGAAAAAAAAGAGTGATTTTTATTGCATGATGGGAAAAGATTCATATTGATATTATTGTGAAGAATAAGAAAAAAAGAAACTAGGTGAAGAATTTTGCCTGTGCTTCGAAAGATTCATCCAGAAGGATGTTGGCTGACTTGATGTCCCTGTGAATGATCCGAGGATGGCCTGGGAAAACACAGGAATCAGGAATGAAGCTTGCTTGTCACAGATGAAGAACGTAAATTGCCACTTACAGTCTTCATGCAGATATGCCAGTCCACGAGCTGAGCCTATGGCAATCCTCGTTCTCTTTGCCCAGTCGAGAACAGGAAGCCCTTCCCCTGATAGCCAAAGATCGATGGAGTTCGACACGATAACGATCTCTTCAAGCCAAACGAGAACAAGAGCGTGTTCATGAATCTAACTTACCATGCAAATGGTGCTCCAGTGTTTTGTTGGAGACGAACTCGTAGACGAGCAACCGGTGGTGCTCCACGATGCAGTAGCCCACCAGGGAAACCAGATGGCGATGGTGAATGCGGCTGATGATCTCCACTTCGGCTCTGAACTCCCTTTCTCCTTGTCCACTCCCGATCTTGAGCTGCTTCACCGCGACTTGCCTCCCGTCCGGCAGCGTGCCCTTGTACACAGGTCCGAACCCGCCCTCGCCGATGTGATTGTCGCGAGAGAACCCACTGGTTATGCCCATCAGCTCGTCGTACGTGAACTGCCCGCTGTTGCTGCCATACAGGCTCTCTGTCTTGGTATCTGCATGCCCATTGCCTGGATTGTCGATCATCGATTGAAGATTTAGGACTCTGCAGTCGGTCACTTACTTGGAAATGCGATTTGACCAGGTGGATGCCGGTATTGTCCTCGGGAACCCTTCGTGCTTCTCTTCTTCTTCCTCAAGGCCACAAAGAAGATGACCGCCAGCGCGACCAACGCCCCGGCAACAGCTATTCCGACGAGGGTTTTGGCCACGGAATTGTCGTTGGAGTGGGCTGATGGTGTGGTCGATGGTGAGGCAGTTGAGTTTTTGGTAGAAGATGTGGAGGACGGCCGCAAACTAGTATATGCTGGAGGAGGAGGGGTGTTTATTTGGGTAGGTGTCGCAGGAGGAGGAGCGGCGGTGGTTGAAGGTGCAGGGGTGGAAGTGGATGGAGGAGATAGAGCAGAGCCTGGTGGAGTTGTCTGCGTGGGTGGGGAAGGGGGTGATGGAGTAGAGATTGGTGTAGGAGGAGCTGTCACGACGACAGGGGCGTCTGGCGGCGGAGGGGGGAATTTGGAATCCGATGCCGGGGTAGGTGGAGGCGATGATGCTGGCAGAGGAGGCGGAGGAGGGGATGCTGAGTCATAAGGTGGTGGAGTAGGAACGGGGGAGACGGTTTTGGGAGGGGGAGGAGGAGGAGGGGAGGAGGAGACGGCTGGCGGAGGGGTGAACGATTCATTGGAGGTGGAAGGTGGGGTCGGTGTTGGTGGAGGCGGGGTTGATTTCTCAGCGGGAAGTGGCGCTGGGGCGACCGGAGGAGGTTGCGTCGGAGATGGTGGAGATGGCGATTGGGAGGTTGACGGTGGCGGAGATGCCGCCGCCGGGGAAGGCAGAGTCGGCGGAGAAGCGACAGGTGGAGGAGACGTCAAATCAGAACTTGGAGTCGCAGGAGATGGAGCTGATTCCGACATCCTCTCTCTCTGTCTCTCTCTCTCTCTCTCTCCAATCTATTCTCCCTTCACTCCTCTGTTACAATTCCAACGCTCAAAACGATGGTTTTCAGGCGATCTGTCATCCTGAACAACCCGTACGCGCAACAGGCGCAGTGGGAGAAGATGACGACATTACCAGGAGAAAGAGGATGCGGGTTCTGCATTCCGTAGGTCTCGGAAGCAGAGAAACAGGAGCGGGATCGATGGATGTGCATCCATGAAGCGGATGCACCGAGGGAATCTTGGCGGAGGCTGAAGCGACCTGAAATGGTTCGAGAATGGCCGGGGAAGGAATCCAAAACCGTGGGATGGGACGAGAGCGATGGAGAGGAACGACCGGGGAGAAGAATTCGACAAGCATGCAGTAGTAGCTGTCTCGAGATCAGCTCGTCCGTTCGTTTGGCGGTAAAGCGGCCCCAATAATAGGGGGCTTCAAGAAGCCCCTCCCGCGCAATCCAGCGTCATCCCCTCCTTCCCCCGCCGCTCTCAACGTAATATATATCTCATTGTAATTAATATCTCTCAATTAACGGTTGAGAAGGGCGTTACACATTTTGATTAAATTTTGAACGAATTTCCAAGAAAAACCCATCATTTAATTTTAAAAATAAAAATAATGTTAGCTCTTATTCTCTTATTCTTCGGTAAGTATCAGAGGTTTAAAGTTGGAATGCATATGTTCCTCTTGTTAGAATACCTCTATGCTATGATCGAAATGTCAGCATAGCTTGATCGAGCTCCTGATGTCCAAGGGTGCCCATGCGAGAACTTTCATGAGTGAGACGGACGTCGGGTTGAGATAGGTCGCAAAAGTTGCCCTCGTGTCGCCAACCTCAGCACTCAGGCCAAGGTCGAGAGAAGTTTTTCTCGATATGACCTCTCCGAAGCTTAACAGAATCGAGTGAAATAAGAGTGAGTTGAATGTGTCCCCTCCGTGTTGGGCAGTGGACATTTATATATGTACATGGGAGTTGGTCGTATGATGTGCCTAAGTTTCTCGGGGCTGCTTTGTACTCGACGACATCGTCTTGAGTTTCTCGAGGTGGTTTTGTACCTGATGGCATCATCCCGAGTTTCTCGGGATAAGCTTGTACCTGACAGTACCATCCTGAGTTTTTCAGGGTAGACTTGTACCCGACATCGTCATCCCAAGTTTTTTCGATCCATTGTGAATTGTTACGATGGCCTATGAAATCTCTGTTGATGTGATTGTTGGTATGGGCTACCGTCGAAGGGTCAGTTTCTCGGGGCTGCTTTGTACTCGGCGGCATTGTCCTGAGTTTCTCGGGGTGATTTTGTGTCTGATAGCATCGTCCTGAGTTTCTCGAGACGGGCTTATACCTGATAGTATCATCCTAAGTTTTTCGAGATAGGCTTGTACCCGACATCGTCATCCCAAGTTTTTCGATCCATTGTGGACTGTTACGATGGCCTCTGAAATCTCTGTTGATGTGATTGTTGGCATGGGCTACCGTGGAAGGGTCATTTATCAAAATGTGCCGTATCACCTCTCATCACAGAGTTCGTTATGTTGGAGAAGCAGTCTCTCATATTGATTCTGCACTTCCCAGAGACCTTTCATTCGTTGGGATTTGGAGAAGGCGCAGTAAGGCTCGGTTGAGGCGCAGGAAGAAGGCTGAGAGGAGTAGCAGCATTTGAAGTCGGCGTTCCTTCCAGAGTATGTTCCGCGTGCAGCAATTCCTCCGCATGATTCATCTCCGAGTTCGAAGGCGTAGAAGAGGCGGTGGCGATTAAGGCAGGCTGGGACGGATCCCGCCAAGGATTCGGGGATGATCCAACGCCGCCAGATCTTGCTTGATCGCAGAATCCATGGCTGAGTTCGCCTTGTTCATCGGATCCACCGTCATAGTCCCCGAATCACGGGTGTCATAGGATTTAGTAGGTGGGTTTTGAACCATTAAGGCAGGATTGATTGCGGAATTAATGGGAAAAGAGGAGGTAACGGATGAGATCGAGTTGGCAGCGACGCCAGAAGGGGGAAGATTGCCGGAAGAGTTAAACTGCGCCAATCGCAAGGATGATCGTGGAAGGTGCAGCGGTTGATGGGATCGGGAGTGCGTTTGAATCCTTAGCCAGCTGTTCCATCACGTGATGGACGCGTGTTGAACTGCTGGGCCGAGACTTCATCGTTTCCGGCGCCGACAGTTGCTCCGCCGCTTTCACCGGCGTGCTTGTACGATGGGAACGACGCTGGACCCTGACCCAAGGACCGAAAACGCTCCCTGTCTCATCTACCTAATTGGCAGTGAACACCTCAGCAACACATATGCCATGTATACTTCCAATTTTAAACCTTTCTTCAAATGGGAAAACTAAAATATGCCATGTATACTTACAATTTTAAACCTATTAATAGTATATTATGACTCTCAAATATGAGCAAATGCATCATCAACCCCTTTTTCATTTTCAATCATAATATATACATACCTCCTCCCTCCTTGCTGTTAAAGTTGAGGTGACTAAAGTTATCTTTTTCTTTATCTTTAATGCATTATAGTTATTATAATTTTGCTTCATCCTTACTGCTAAGTTCTACTATTTCTCATTTAAAAACATCATAAAAAGAGAAATTATTTAGGGTCATTGGGTTAATTGGTCTATAGACTTCGTTCGTTTGATTTAAATCATTAAAATTGATAATAGTATACTCATCGTAATCTTATAAGTTAATCTTAATTTTATCCGTTAGAGACTAAGCTGCAGCCTTCTCATCTAATTAGTAATTATAGCGAGCGGGTCCCCCGGTCTTGTCACCGTTTCCGGGCAAATCCCAGGCGGAGATTGCGCTCTTCCTCAAGCTCGGTCTCGCGTTAAAGCTAAATCATTCACTCGCCGCAAGTCTCTGCTCGCCGACGACAAGATCAAGTCTGAGCTCAGGAGAAGTGCACGAGATCGAGCAAAGTGTCATCGAATCAGCCATCGATGGCTCCACTCTCGAGCTATAAGATGACCATGGAGGCCGATTGTTAGCTCCGTAGTTGCAGAGCAGAACAGTGTAATTTTGAAGCAGAGTTCACGAGAGCTAAAGCAAGGAAGGTGAGTGGGAGGCACCACCACTCCCTTCTTCCTCTCTTCTGCTCTTTCTCTTTCTCTTATCCAGAACTTACAGCCTGATTTCATAGCTTTGCAGTAATGAGATGATTAAGTACAAGGTTTCATGACAGAATCCTGAAGGAGATCAGTGTCGTTGTTGCTTGCAGGAAATGGAGCCACTGGAGCGGATCAAGTCTGGCTTTGAACACTTCAAGAAGGAGGTCTACGAGTGAGTAGATTTCATGTGTTCTTCCTCTCGATGGCATGTACCTGCTGACCTCTTGCTCCACTGTTCATGGCAGGAAGAAGCCCGATATGTTTGCTCAGCTCAAGGAGGGTCAAAGCCCCAAGGTGATGTTCACGTCCCCTATTCTAAATAACCAAGAGAATTCGATGAAGAGAGTGTATGTTTATGTTTGGGAGGTCCTCTTTTCATGTATCAAGAACGAGCTCAAGTTGTGGTTGTTTTGGTGATGCAGTTCATGGTGTTCGCGTGCGCCGACTCCCGCGTGTGCCCGTCGGTGGTGCTCAACTTCCAGCCCGGTGAAGCCTTCGCCGTCCGCAACATAGCCAACATGGTGCCTCCCTATGACCAGGTTCCGTGCCCCTTCCAACTCTCCTCCTGCTGAGCTCTGGAGCTCCACCATTGTTGAACTTGTACTCGTGTCCCCTTCCTCATGCAGACAAAGTGCTGTGGTGCCGGAGCAGCCATCGAGTACGCTGTGCACCATCTCAAGGTCAGTAATTAACTTGTTCTCCACCCTCCTGCCACTCCAATCTCTTCCTCCTCGCATCGCATTTTCAAGAGAAGGTTGAAGCTTCTATCGACAACCACAAATACCACAGAGGCTCCCTTCATAAACAAGCAATCGACTGGTTTCTGAGTTCATCAGGATCAGGAGAATGCTACTCCTCGTTTCGAACTTAACTGAGCTATGCAGCGTTGTGGTGCAGGTGGAGAACATAGTGGTGATGGGTCACAGCCGATGCGGTGGGATCAAGGGGCTCATGTCCATCAAGGACGACGGCACCACCAGCACGTAAGAATCCCTCCAATCCTCCAAAAGAAAGAGAAGAAACCCAATTCTTATGAGCATTTACACAAACAACTAGACCTCAATATTTCGCAACACATTTCTCCATACTTCTGCTTACCATTAGAGTTGACTTCTTGTGATCAGTGACTTCATCGAGGACTGGGTGAAGATATGTAATGCGGCAAGAGAGAAGGTGAAGGCGGAGCACTCGGCACTGTCTTTGGAAGATCAGTGCACTCGGTGCGAGATGGTATTCCTTTCTGCCCTCTCTCCCTCCTTTGAGACCAGTTTGGTTCCACATACATGCGAGAAAAGAAGCTGCATTAATTTAGATGGTGCATAAATTCTTATTTTTCTCTTGTCATCTTATTCTACATTTATTGTTAAAATAATATTAACCTCGATATAAAGATAATTATTTGATGATCTCAATTCGAAACGTAACAATAACATCTAAAACTACATCATATATTTTTAAATATTTATAAACAAAATTCTTTTTATATGTTTTCTTTTTTTATGGTATTAAAATCTCACGATAATAAAAAAAATCTCTTTGATGAAAATTTATAGGACATGTATTGTTTGTTATATCTCCTTGTAACTTTGCTCTGTCCTTTTCATCCTTTCACAGGAGGCTGTTAATGTGTCCCTCCAAAACCTAAAGACCTATCCCTTTGTGAAAGAAGCTGTGGAGAAGAATTCCCTGAAGCTGATCGGAGCCCACTACGATTTCGTTAGTGGCAGCTTGGAGACATGGGAGTGCTGAGCCGATCGATCCTTCACCACTTGGCGCTGAGTTTCTCAGTAATAAATAATGCTTTTGATTGATTAAGGTGTCTTTAAATTATCATGTTTCATTTGGTTCTTATTTACCAATATCTATCTATGCAACAATTTTGGTGTTCAAAAGATTCGTTGATCTTGAATCAACAATTTAACATATTTTAATATTTTGAGAACAGTTAATCCAGTTTATTTTCAGAAAGAGAGAAAAATAAGCTGCATTACTGTGCGTCATCGAATCTGTCTTTGCACTGGCAAACAGTAGTAGAGGTCACAATTCCAAGCAAACTCAACTACACATTTATCGTTAAGATCAGGATAAATTTTCCTTTTGTGATTTTAGTGATACAGGAATTGAACACTCTATGGAGGCCTCGACACAAGTAAAAAAGATTCACCACATGGAAGAACTAACATCAGAATTTAATACAACAATAAGCTGCAATAAC